CGCCCGAGGTCATCTCGTCACTCATTACCTCCCTGTCTGCCATATCACGCCCCTTGAGCAACCACTTTGAGGGCCCCTCATATCTGGCCCCGCTCGACACACGCAACTTGGGCGCTTCATCGGCCCCCACCTCTCCCGGTCATAGCAGCGGCTCCTTCGGCGTTGACTACGGGGCTTACGCTCGGCCGTCGAGGAACGAAGCAAGGGAGGAAGATATCCCACTGGACGAGCTCGCCGCGAGTGCTCCCGTCATCCGGACCTCGAAGCCCCCGAGTGGCTTCTCACCTCTGACCGCCCCCAAGTCTCCCAAGAGCCCAATCACCCGCGATGCGTCCGGCTTGAGGAGCATACTTTCACGGGGTAGTAGCAGCGCTCTCTCCCGCCCATCGAGCAGAGGGTCTTTGACGTCTGGGGCCGACAGCATTGGAAAACTGAGCATCGAGCGCACCGCCGAACCTTTATCGCCTGGTGCGGAAGGATCACTTCGGAGGCGCGAGTCACACGATAGCTGGGGGAAGAAGAGCGGCCGAAACCAGCGCGGGTTGATGTACATGAGTAGCAAAGAAAGGTTACGAGAAAAGGAATCCGAAAAGAGAGCGAGCATCGGCGCCGTCGGTGGTACCTCAAACGCTATATCTTTGAATGGATCCATGACATCGCGTCTCGACCCCCTCGCGGCCGAATCTATCATTAACGAAGAACCCACCCCCGACCCCCCTCCCCGACCACAACGGCCAAGCTGGTCTGTGGAACCCCCCAGCAACAACCACAACAGCAGCAGCAGCGGCATCCCCAGTCCCCGAACGATACCAGCCCGGGACTCTTCGCTGCGCAAAACGGGCCCTGGCGCGAAGAGGTCGTCGGCCAGAGCATCCAGAAACGCGAAGCGAGACAGCGACGGAGGCGCGAACGATACCATCCACGAGATTGACGAGCACAGCAGCAGTACCCGTAATTCACGTGGCGAAACAGCCCGGCGGAAGCAGCTGACTGCGACAAAGGAGCAAGATCTAGATCCCGTGAGGCTTTCAGCCGATTTGCCCCGAAACCCGGCATCATTCAGCAAGCCCCGCCCCGATATCTATAGCACCAGCCCATCGACACCGGCAAGCGCCATGTTCCCCGATTTGGACCCTGTCGATGATGGTGCGCCTTCTCCCGCTGTTGCCCAGGGGCGCAGAAGAGATCGCGAGTCGAGTGCAGAGGCTCGCTACAGGCGGCGCTCTGGTCGTATGACGCCCGATCATCTTGGTGGATATAACAGTGAAAGTGGGGGGATTGGCTTGAAGGTCAAGCGTAGCAGTAGCAGACTCAAGCGACTGTCCGGCGGGGCGAGCCCCGCCACAGATAGATCGTCGGAACACGGAATTGCCGCGGGGAACACTCAAAGCGACCAGCCACACATTGCGTACGAGAGACCAACAAGCGCCGATAGCGTCGATGACGCAGTGGAGAGCTACCTGTGCAGTCCACGACTGAGCCAGAAAATCCGGCATCCGCAGACGGGCCGTGTCATCAGCTTTAGTGAGGTTGGAGACCCGAGCGGAAGCGCCGTGTTTTGCTGCGTCGGCATGGGCTTGACGAGATACATTACCGCCTTTTATGACGAGCTGGCCTTGACTCTGAAGCTTCGGCTGATCACGCCTGACCGACCTGGTGTTGGAGACAGTGAGCCTTACGCCGAGGGCACTGCGACACCTCTTGGCTGGCCTGGTATGTCTTTTTGCCCGACATGCATTTATGTGTGCTAACTTTCTTTCAGACGACGTGTACGCGATTTGCCAATCTCTCAAAATCACAAAGTTTTCCATCCTCGCCCACTCGGCTGGCGCCATCTACGCGCTCGCCACGGCACTACGTATGCCTCAACACATTCGGGGCAGGATTCATCTCCTCGCGCCCTGGATCCCCCCGTCACAAATGAGCGTGTTCGGCGCAAGTGCGCAGACACCGTTGCCACCGACGAATGCGATTCCTACGAGCCAAAGAATCTTGAGGGCACTCCCGACCCCTTTTCTGAAGGCTGCAAACAGCAGTTTCATGACGGCCACCAGCTCAAGCATCACAAGCTCGTTGCCAAAGCAAAAGAGAGCCAAACGGGAAAAGAAAGCAGCCAAGGAAAAGGAAGCCAAACGCCCAAGCCAGGATGCTGTGGACAATAAAGAAAACGGTGATCACGGTCACGGGGATCACGCGCCAAACGACTTGGCGCAAACGCTGGCAGCAGACGAGAATATGGACCGCATCCGCCCTACTGGAACCAATCCCACGGGGCCAACGGGTTCCCAAGCCAACGCCAACGGCAACGGCCACCGCCACAACCGCTCCAACTCTTCTCAGCAAGGAAGGCGGCAATCTGAAAAGGAGGAGCTTATTTCTGCGGCTGCTCAACTTGCCAACTCGCAGCTTGCCGACCGTGAGCGCCAGGAGACATACGACAATCGCCTTACCCATGCAATTTGGCAGCTGGCTACGACCGGTGCTAACCCAGCTGTCGACCTGCTAGTCTGCCTGGAGCGGCGGCATACCATAGGGTTCCGCTATGTCGACATCACGAGACCTGTCGTGATTCACCATGGTAGCCGGGATACCCGAGTGCCCGTCGAGAATGTCAAGTGGCTGGGCAAGACGATGCGGCGGTGTGAGGTGCGCGTTCTTGAAGGCGAAGGTCATGGCCTGATGGCCAGCGCCCTGGTCATGGGCGGCGTTCTGATGGAGGTCAGTCGTGAGTGGGATGAGTGGAGCCGCGTCACGGGCGCAACTAAGAGAGAGCACGAAAGGACGAGGAGGGGGACCATTGGAACGATTGGGCAGGCAAGGTGAGGCTTGGCAATCCCAAACTGGGTCCTGTCCAAAGTAATGTCATCTTGGACATGAACACATTGGGTCAAAGGTCGAAGCATAAACGTGCGGCCCAGTTGGGCAGGGCCGAGACTCCTCTCGTGGCCGAGGGAGCACAGCAGAGAGCATGCAAGGGAGCATCCAAGGGAGCATCTCTGGATTTCAGGCGCCCCATGCGTTACACGAGAGACGTGGGGAACGGCGGTTTAGTTTAGATGTGGATCGCAGCGTTTGTTTTTGGGAGATGCGCATATAGCGCCAGGCAGTGAAGCCGATTTCTTGGTCAATGACTTATTTCCGTTTATATAGCCTAGGTACTTGTACTCTTGTACTCATAATGTCGAATGGTAATGCAGCCTGATTAAGAGGACATGGCAGATGTTTCAATTTCTATCTGTGTGATGATGCAAGTGGTGATGTTTTTACAGTTCGGTTACCCAGACCTGCTCGCCCAGTCTCGGCTCTCGCTCTCGTGCCACACCACTCAATGACAATGAAAGCCCCTGTTGGTCCATTCTTTAACAATCCCGCTGTATCCCGCCGATGATCTCATAGGTTTTGTTTCGACGCTATCGGGCGGTGTCAGCAGAAGCGAGAAAGGGGGGTGACCGACCCCTATTCGGGACACGCCAAGGAGCAAAGTCAACAAACTCACCTCCAGCCCAAACCTCACCACCACCCCCAACCACAAACACCCATCTCGGTGCTCACTCAATCCGCCGCCGGCACAGGCGTCAGGTTCGGCGGGTTCCCCGCCCCCGCCACCTCCCCCGGGTCCAGCTACCCCCGCAGCTTCAGCAGCCCCGACGGCTTCTTCGCCTTCACCTTGTCCTTGACCCGGCTCTTGCCCCTGGACAGCCGCTTGCGCAGCCGCTGGCCTAGCTCGCGTAGCTTCTTGACCACCTTGGCGGGCGTCTTTCTCGCTTTCGCGCGCTTCGAGCCCTTGGAGCGTCTGGAGGAGGCCGTCGGGGTCGGGGTGGGCTCGTTGTTGGGCTGCGAGGGCGCCGTGGTGGTGGCGGTGAGGGTTGTTGTTGCGGCTGGGTCCGTGGGCGGGGGCAGCTCGATATGCTGGCCCCGTGTCGCGGGCTTGCTGGGGATCGAGTCGCGCGGGCCGTCGGAGTCGGGGAAGCGGAAGTCGCGGAGGGAGGAGCGGAGGGTGGCGTCTTCCGAATTGAGGGAGGAGGTCGAGGCGCGCGAGTGTCGGAGGGTGGGGGGTTTGGGGGGGCTGGTGGTGGTGGTGGTGGTGGTGGCCATGCAGGGGGGAGCTGGGGACCTGGTGGCTTCCTTGGTCGAGGCTGGGCTAGGCTTCTTCTTGGCGAAGGGGTTCCAGCCGTGGTAGGCTTCGTCGCTGGATCTTCTGTTTTGGGGGAGCATCTCATCGTACCTCAGCGAGCGAGATACCGGCGGCGGGGGGGCGGCGGGCGTAAATGCGTTTCTTGCGATTATTGATGCACGATGAGCTTGCTCCAAAGATATCTGAGTCTGTCGATGCATCAACATCGTGTTTTGCTGCATCGTTTGCATGTTGTTTTGCTGGGCAATCTGAGCTGCCGTGAAGGTCATGGTCGGTGATGGGAGCAGAGATTGGGAAAAGAGCGGCCTGTCCAGGGAGAGGAATGGCGAGTAGCAGCAAAGCAAAGAATGACAAGTCCGCCTTTTCAGCCTAGACACACGAGGTATTGGACGACGAAGGTATAGGGAAGCCGGGTGTGGTGAACAGGCGAGTGTATCTGGGCATTCTTTGCTTGCGATGCGGGCCGAAGGGAATGGTCTCACCACCGAGGGCTGTTCGTTCTTTCCTCGACCGACTACTTTGTCGCGAGCAGCACAGTCTCTACCGGTGGTGTTGGTGTTCCTTCCTGGGGGTAGACTCGGGAGTGGATGGGCGTCGCTGCCGGAGATACAAGAACAGCATATTGCGGTTATATGGGATTGGCATCTTGGAAATCACGACCCAAAATTGAAGTGAACTTTCGGCTTATTTTCCAAGACCTCTTGGGCGTCTAGGATTGAATTATGTTATCAACCAAAGACAGAAATTATGCCCGGTTGTAAGCAATGTCTCTTTCCAAGAGCCAGGTATATACACGGCTGCTGAAGGTGGTGGCATTCTTTGGGCATGGCAAAAAGAACAGATCAAAGTAAAAAGATAAAAAATGCACTCCCGGTGGGACTCGAACCCACAACCTTCCGATTAGAAGTCGGACGCCCTACCATTGAGCTACGGGAGCCTATTGGTTTACATTTTCCTGGCGCGATATTGTTCTATATGTTCACAGTGCAAGCTCATATGCGTAATACTGTTCAATGCCGCCCCGCTCGTCACCAAGACTGCGCCCGGCGACATGTTCTTACCGTCTGTGAGGATGTCCAGCTGTGGCCTCGATGCTGCGGCCTACCCCCAAATCGAAGGCAGCGAAGGTGTGTAAGAGATATTGGGCGAGGCCATGGTCCGCTTCTGGGAACGGCACGAGAACTGGTCTCGGCAGTTATCAACCGGAATTCCCTGTAGCAACACCAACTGTGGTAAGGTGGTACCCGAATACTATACCGACTGGAACCATGATGAGGCGCGCTGCCCGGATTGTAGAACCGTGACTTGCACACGTCGCCGCGCGGAATGGCACATAGGACCTTGCATCATACAAGACCCGGCTACGAGACAAACAATACGGCTGGCTGAGAGGGAGGGCTGGAGAATGTGTTTCAGGTGTGGGCATATTATTGAGTGGACAGGGGGGTGCCCCCAGATGACGAGAATTCTCCCCGTGTGTTCCTTTCCGTACTGGATTATTTGGGGGGTGGCTGATTCCCTTCTAGGTGTTTTTGCCGTACTGAAATGTGCATGGGATACGGCTGTCCCTGGGGGGACTGAGGGCGTGCTTTGGGCGACTGCGAAGATGGCGCTGACTGCCCGCACTTCCTTATCACCACATCCTGAAGGTCTTACATACACATGGGACAATAGTTTCGGTTTGATTTATGGGCACAGATCTACACTGAACCTCATTTGAAGATAAATTTCAAGTATTTGTATCGCAACTCACACAGGCTGTCCCCCCTCAACGGCCGCCCCCTCAACACGGCCGCCCCCTCAACACGGCCGCATATACAGGTGTGACCAGAGGGCCCAGACCTGGCGGCGAGAATTACCAATCGGCGCAACGCCCACCAGTTAGATCTAGTACTGCTTTGATTATTGCTACTAGACAGCCTGTACCCCCCGTAACCCCACGCCGGTTCTCCAGGAACAGACTTACCCCCGCGGGGTAAACTGGGAGTGGAAGGACGCACCCATCAACCGGCCTGTATCCTTCCTCGTTCAGCACAAGACTGGGGATTGGAGGTACTCGGAGACGTTGGCGAGTTAGTCTCAGTGCTATGGGGAGTTGGTTCCTCTTTGTACCGTGCTGGATGTAAGGACTAGAGGGGACCCTGGACAACATTCAAGGGAACTACTTGACTCTTGCTACACGTAAAACAACCAATCCTTTACCCAGAAACACTCGCCCCCGGAGCAAATAGAGGTGAATACTATAGCGAAGAAAGATGGATATTCACCATTATTCCTAGCTACATCCATTTCTTCCAACGAGATCATCACACCGCCGGCTTCTTCCCCCGACAAATCAAAAATGGAAACACCATCTTGTGCTCCTTGACCCCATTCCCCGGCACCGTCTCCACCATCTTGTCCATCTCAAACCCCGTCTCAACAATGACATCCCCAAACCCGGCCCCTCCAGCACCTCCCTAGCCACCCCACGCTTGATCCCATGCCAACAAACCCCGTCCATCCTAGCCTCGGGATGAAAGCGCCGCGCCTCGGGCCCAAAGTCCTCGAAATCCGTCACCATAACCTCGCCCCCCGGCTTCAAACACGCGTTAATCATCCCAAACAGCGCCTGCAGGTCCGCGACGTGGTGCAGCACGAGATTCGACACGACCAAATCAACCCGCCTTGCAGGGGCTTCCCGCCCCGTGACCGGATCCTCCCCGATGCGGGGATCGTCGGGGCCGGTGAGCAGGGCACACACGGCGCGGATGTTTGTCGGGGCGGCGGGGGCGGCGAGCCTGGACTGCAGGACGGCGATCATGCCGGCGGCGGCGTCGACGGCGGTCACGGAGCGCACGGCCGGGGCCAGGGCCAGCGAAAGCAGACCCGTGCCGCTGCCGATCTCGAGGACGTCGTAGGTGGCGAGGGTGGAGGGCGCCGGGAGGCGCGCGAGGTACGCTTGGTGGGCCAGGGCGGTGGCGGCGAGGACGTCGGGTTTGGTGTCCCACGTCAGGGCGTCCGTGTTGAAGCGGTTTTTGGGGTCGGGGAGTGACATGGTGGGGCTGGGGGGCGGTGATGGGATGATGGAGGGAGCTGGGGTGGTTGAGTTGTAATGTCATCAATGGTGCGCTTGTAAGTAAAGTGGAGATGTTTCCCATAGGTCCGGTGTTAGGGTGGTAAATTACGGGCAAATTCGGTCTAGCGACGAGCGGGTTTACGGCATTTGCCACCTCAAAACGTGTAATACCTAAACAAGGGCCGACTTCGGACAGCCGTGTATTGAGTTGAGTTCGAGAGTCTATCATAAACAAGGAATATAAGGGAAGTAGGTACATGGGGGATGTTGATGGCGACTCAACTTCCCAAGGTGTCTAGAGGCGATTGTTGCTGGCTTGCCCCCCGGCCCTGTCCCGAGGTGTAAAGTGCCACATAGCCAACCTCCATCATCGATCCGTAGCCATCACGCGTGTTGCCGTCCGGGTAGCCGGGCTGTCTGAGTGTCAGGTATTCCTGTTCGGCTTGACCTTGGAAACAAGAGACGGAGAAACACAAAAACATACCCAGTTCCCTCCAACGGCCACATTCAAGATGAAAAACATGGGCCTCTGCGCCAAACTCGCCCAGACATCCGGACTCCCCATCTGGTCCCCCCTGATCTGGTGAAACTGCTGATCGTTGAAAAACCAGGTGACGCTCTCACCCTGCCAGCTCCCCGCCGTCCTGTCCCACACGATCCGCCAGCGCTGAAAGTCCTGGTTCGGGATCCCCACGGTCGCGCCGCGGCCCGTGGGCTCGTTGCAGGCGCCGCCCGGGGAGACATCGCAGTGGGCGGTGCCGTAGCCCGTCAGCAGCCCGTTGACCGTCTCCATGACGTCGAGCTCGCCGCACGCCGGCCACCCGCCAAAGTGGCGGATCGAGTCGCCCAGCAGCCAGAAGGCCGGCCAGATGCCCTTCTTGGCGTCGACGGGGCCGGGCCCGAACCGGAGCTGCGCCTCCGCCATGGTCCGCCGCCCCGCCTGCGGCGTGAACGTGTACTTGGACTCGATCCGCCCCGATGTCCAGCCTCCCGAGACGGAGCCGTCCCGCCACGGGACGAGCTGCAGGGTGCTGCCGCCGCTGGTCTGCACCTGGTGCGGGTTGGCGCGGTAGGTCTGCAGCTCGTTGTTGACGCCGAGGTTGCCGTCGATGATGTTCCAGTTGTTCTGGTTGGGCAGGCTGCCGCTGGCTCCGCCGAAGCTGTCGGCCCATTGGATCCCATAGCCGTCGTAGCTGGGCGGGTCCCAGGCTGAGGCCAGGGTGGGGAGAAGAGCTACGAGGAAAGTGAGGTGGACAAAATGCATCTTGAAGGACAAGCCTGGCTTCCTTCGGTTTATACTGGGTGAAACTAGAAAGGGGAGATGGGCTGGAACGGAATCAAAGCGGGAGAACTTGATAAGGAGCGGAAGCTGTATTGATTACAGCGGTAGGGGACCAGACCTCTAAGAGCGAATGTGGAGATGGCGATTTTCAAGGATGAAAATAGAAGGGGGCACCAGTCCACAGGGCACGATCAGATGGGATGAAAGTCTCCCATGTGGCTCATCAACAGCACACATGGGAGTTGTCTCTGTCTCAAAAGGGGCTTCGTGGGGAACGGCAGAAGAATGTGACATCCCATACCAACACGCTCAGTCCTAACACTCACATTTTCTGTTTTGTGTTACACCACGGTGTTTCTGGCAAAAAAAATGGGAGGCGTGCGAGTGGTGATGCAGGGTGGGAGTGATGGTAGGGGACTCGGATGGGAATCCGACATTGGTCACAGCGGCGACGGTCTGGAGATTTCATCCCCACCTTGCCTCTGGCAGAGGCTGCTGGGAATCTTCTCAAGTGCAATGTGCGATTTGGGTGACCACAGCGGCATTAGGGATAGTCCGGTACACACATGCAGATTTGGTCCATGGGCCGGTTGTGTTTTTGTCGGGTTTTACTCAGGGGCTCCAGCTTGACCCTTATCGGGTGCACTATTCCCGGGCACTTGGGACTGCGACCTGGAAATAATCAGATCTACCCCAGAGGATGTGTGACCCAACGTTTCTTTCAAGGATCGCGCTTGACCTATTCAACTGTAACGTTGTCTCACCGAAAACCTGGGGAAGTCTTCAAGTCAGATGCTTGGCGCAGCTCGGTGATCAAAGTGAATGACATGAATTGTCTGTGCTGTGGGGTCAAATCCTCACCCCCTATTGAGAATACTTACCCGGTACACACATGCAGGATGCATGAAAAGCATATGACTGCTCTTTCCGCCACGCGAGCGTCCCCTGCGTTGCAAATGCGACCCTACAACACAGGACGATGTTGTGCGGGGAAATTCGACCAGGTCTTGGAGGATGCGATTGGAGAACGGCGAGATGACCGACGGCACATGCCCAGCCCCATTTGACTTGACCATGGCTTCACCGTCGTGGGCATTTGTCCATGATGCACACAGGAAGTCGGTGTTGCGAGAGGACATCTTCGTTATGAGCATGTACCTCAACTCGGCCAGCTCCTTTCAGAGCCGCAACAGCAACAGCTTGGCCGTCACGGTGTTACATGGTTCAGCTTCTCCATACCCTCAGCATATGGTATGTGATGTGGCTTTAGTCCTATTTGCATGAGCCACTGATTCTACTTTTTTGGTGCGAAATGCATGTTTCACAACACCGTCTTTCTAGCGGTCTTTCCCTAATGAAGCTTGTGCTTCCTTTCTAACCAAGGATTATCCCGGAGATTGATGATAAGGCGACTGGAGTTCGAAGTAACCAGAGCCAAGGCACCTGCCCATAGGCTAAGGTAGATATCGGTTTGGCCAGAAGACAACCGCGAAGAGTGTCCGAAGCCTTGCTTTCTCACCAACCTCCTCTCGCGTGTGCTCAATGCCGCGCTGGGCCAGATGTGCCTATCTTCTGGGAGTGAGACATAGGCTGCATT